TGAAATTTCTTCAGTTCCTTAGACTTTTTTTAGATAAATGGTTTTCAGCCCTTTAAAGTTTTAGGATTTGGACCTTATATAGCAAACTTAAGCTTAGTGATTATGGACTGCCATTTCCTTGTTGTCTTTTGTGAACTCCTTAGAAATCACTTCCAGGTGCAAGTGGGAAAACGGGCTGGAAACCCCTGTCATGGATAATATGTTTGACTGTTTTACTCAAAACATTATTCTCTGCATTTCATTTCTTCAAGTTGAAAGTGTAGTTGAGACGTTTACTTAAAGAGCACGTATAAGTGGATACAAACCCCATCATGTTACAATTAGATAAAGGGAAAAAGAAATCTTGTTTTGATTATGGAGGGTTTTTTGGTTTAAGCATTACTTGCATTTTTGTGAGCATAAACTTCTTTGGAGCCTGTTCTGTCAGTAACCTTGGGAACAGTAGTAGGTGTTTTGAATACCCTCTCTAGCTGAGAAAATTTATGCTTTATGCTGTTTTTTTAAAAATTTATTAGTAAAGAATAAAAAAATAGGTGGCTTCACATAGTCTTGTGAACTTGAGGAACAAAAGTGAGATCACTCAAGTAGTTAATCGAGGAGTAGAAGTACTTTGTTTTACAAATCTTATTTTAAAACAGTTTTAGGGGAGAAAAGCGATAAGAGAGGAGCTGGAGAGATGAAGAGTGGAAAAAAAAAATTAATTGTACAAAGATGCTTAACAGCCTTCAGTATTTTAGAATGCTTCAGGTGTTCATACCTATGAAATCTTTGTGTTAGGATTAGCTGACTGAGGTGAATTCGTAAGAGCAGGAATAATCCTGGTCTAAGGTTTATGGGAACTTCAGTTGGAATGCTCTGTATATAGCATGTGTGGATAGTACTGCTTCAAGTCTATCACCGGAATTAAAGCTGCAATAGTTGACTTTCTTCTAGTTGCTCATTCTGTTTCTGGTTCCCACAAAACCTATGAACAGGGAAGTTTCTTGTGTTTTTCTACATCTGATTTCTAATCTTGTATAAATGATTAAGGCTTCACTTCCAGAATTTAGCAGAGTAGGACTAATTGTGCAGTAAAATGTTTATGATTTACCACCTATTACTGTCTGTCATAGATTGGTACTGGGGAACTTTGCTACAGCAAGTATCATTACCATCAGTTAGAATTGATGTATAATCAAACTATGTGAAATGTATACTGATGTTCAAGTCATTATTTTAATTAGTGTGGCTTTATCTTTTTTTTAATGACACTTTTTGTACAAATTTTTTGTTGTTATGTATTTTCCTTCTGAGATTTTTATAATGAGAATATGGTAATTTTTTTCAGGCTTTGGAACTCCTGTATCGCCAGCAGTGGACTTCAGCTGATGGACTGGGAGTTTTGATAATATCGCCTACCCGGGAACTGGCATATCAAACCTTCAAGGTTCTGCGTAAAGTGGGAAGGAATCATGAGTTCTCAGCTGGCCTTATCATTGGAGGAAAGGTGTGTCCTTTCTTGGAGTTTGCTGTATGGAAGCATAAATGAGTGCTATATTAAGAGCTAGTTTAGGAAGGAAACCCTGGAAATGAAAAGTGAGGGAAGAGAGTAGTTAATGGGAACCTATCAATGACCCACTCGTTTTCCTGTCTGCGTACTCGGTGTCTTTTGAAGCTTTTGCATATTTACAGTCTTTTCAGGTTACGACTGGATGGACCTTCCTGTCAAGCCTTCCAGGACTATCCTGTTAATTTAGATGATTCTGAAATACTTTTTCCTCAAGCCACAAGTGTGAGCACGCTGAAGAAATTTTGATATCTCTGTAGAAAGAGGAAAGGCTGATCCTTGGCTATTCTTTCTAAAAACTATCAATAGGTTAAGCTGGCCTGGTCATCTCTGGTACTGGGCTTCTACTGTGAACAACTAGAGCTAAGCTTGTTGAACTCCTTTTCAGGATCTGAAAGAAGAGTCTGAAAGAATCCACCACATAAATATGCTAATTTGCACTCCAGGACGGCTTTTACAGCACATGGATGAAACTTCCTATTTCTATGCATCTGATCTGCAAATGTTGAGTAAGTTTTTTTTTTTAAGTACTTGAAAGTACTCAGAAATATTTTCTAACAGTTCATAATTGTGTAGAGCACTTTCTTGGGTAAAAGTTTATCCTAGTCATGGCATGTAGATGAAATGGCATTTAAGTTCACACATGTACAAATTAAACTAGAAAACAAGAAAACACCTTTCTTGTGCGTACTTTCTTCCAAACAGTTGCTAAGCATGCCTTAGGGTAAGAACAACTAGATGAGTTAATAAGGAACCCAAAACCAAATGTAGTGTCCCATATAGTCCTTAGATCTGTCTTGGCTAATGCTGGCCTTTCCTTTCCGGCTATGGCTCTCATGTTTTTCCTGACATGATAATTACCTACATGGAATATCCATTGTAGTGTGTACATTTTGGGCCAGTTCTAGAAAACACTTTTCTTTGAATTTTAAGACAGATTGCTGCTCCTTTCATTGTTTTGTTAGCATTGTTTCTTTTCATCCTTCCAACCTGAATAAAAATTTCAGTGTAGTGAAAAGGTTTGTCTGCAACTAAGAACTGCATAATCTTTAGCATAGCTTGAGGAACTTAGAAGCGGTTAAGAAGCTAATGAAGCTGATAAAATGTGAAATTAGGCTTGCTACACTCAGTACAATTCATGGCAGTTAGACAAGAATTGCATTAAACATAGGCCCTTTTCTTAAACCTTTGTCTCTGTGCTACTCTGTTTATTCCTTGTGTTTCAATGCTAAATTCACCTTAGGTACAGGAGAGTCTGTTTTGCTCCGTCATGAACAGTACAGCACTGTTTTATATTCCATGCTTTTGTTTTGGTGATAGGACAAGGAGTTTGTAATTTGCAGTCTGTCTGCAAATGCTGAACTATTTACTTGAAATACTGATCTTTTATGCTTCAGCATGTGAAGCTGAGGGCTGTAGTGCATAGATTATGGGAAATGCTATGACTTCTATTGCAATGTTTTTAAAAACATATTTTATGGAATACATGAATATCTGAAGAGAATCCTGTGGTATACAGTAATTAAGCTAATCTCTGCACTTTAAGTAGGCATAGATTTTTGTACTATATGCATTTGATGTGTGGTGGGTTTTTTTAATATAAGTAAAGCTAAAACCAGATTTTCTCAAATCTACCTCTCATTTCAGTTCTTGATGAAGCTGATAGAATTCTAGACATGGGGTTTGCTGATACAATGAATGCAATCATAGAAAATCTACCTAAGAAACGCCAGACCTTACTTTTTTCTGCAACACAAACAAAATCAGTGAAGGATCTTGCACGGCTGAGTCTGAAAGATCCAGAATATGTTTGGGTTCATGAGAAAGCCAAATTCAGGTACGTTGGGATAATTATTTTTTTTTTTTTCCTGAGCAGGTTAAACAGATGGTGATCCTACTTAACCTCTTCTCTGACTGTTGATTCCCTGAATTGGAAGTTACGTCATGTGTTCTCTCTCCTGCAGTGTCTGATTCTGTTGTGTGCTGTCCTGAAAGCAAGGAATTTCCAGATAAGAGGGTACTAGTTCTGACTTACTCATTACAGGGAGGCTGAACCTGCACCTTCCCTGCGGCTCCACAGGCAGCTTCGCAGATTGGAAATTTTCTTCCTCAGGAGCAAGCCCCAGAGTGGGTTATAGCCTGGATGGAGTAGTGTCCTGGCTGTAGCACTCATTTCTGAATTGCTGCTTTTTGTTGTTTGGCTTCCTTACCTGCTGTGTGTGCATACTTAAACAGAACCACCAGATGTGTTGCACAACTACAGTTCTTCTGCATGCTGTTGGTAAATCTGGCTTTCCAAGGAAATGCTGCTCTATTGGGAGAGTCTTGTTTGTGTATTCGATATTAGATGCCCAAAGAAAAGCATGTGGCCTTAGAATCATAGACTGGTCTGGGTTGGAAGGGACCTTTAAAGGTGATCTAGTCCACCCCCCCTGCAATGAGGAGGGACATCCTCAACTAGATGAGGTTGCTCAGGGCCCTGTCCAACCTGACCTTGAATGTTTCGAGGGATGGGAGATCTACCAGCTCTCTGAGCAAGCCATTCCAGTGTTTCATGAATTGGTCTATGTGCAGTAAGTCTTGTGGCTTCCTGATGTGCTGGGTTGACTGTGCACACAAAATAAATTTGTCATGCTGTACAGTTTGGATCAGAATGGGAAGGCCTTGTGAGAAGAGAAGTATGTGGTCTGCCAAGCTCCAGAAATGTGAAGTGTCACTAAATGGAAAAAAAAAAAAAAAAAAAAAGCACGTTGTTTTTTCGCACTTTTTTTTCTTTTGAAATCTAAGTGAAGAACTTTAATATTTTGCATTTCTGTAGGTTCTGTCATCTAAGTGTCAAATTGCTTATGAACACATATGATTTTTTTCTGCATTTCTATGAAGTTTGCATATATTTCCATATGTAAGATGCAGGAGAAAGGTGAAGCACAGTGATAAAAGTGTCTTTCCCAAGAACAAACAAGAAATCATCAGCAAAATGAACAGCAGACCCAGGCTGAATTCTGAGGCAGTTTTAAGTATTTTATTGTCTCTGTATTGTACTGCAAATACCTTTTTTTTTTAATCAGTAGTACTATCAAAGGCGTCCTAAATAAGCATGATTGCCAGAAAAAATTGTGTGGTTAATATCCTCGTAGCAGAAGAGGGTGTACAAGCCTAGTATGTAGTCTTCATTTTGAGGACTGACTATACATCTGTTTCACAGATCTTGCATTTTTTGTGAAGTCTATTTTAAATTACATTTAATTCCTTTAAAATATTTGGGAGAGTGCAATTAGATAATAAACTAAATCAAAAAAAGGCAAGTATTCATTTGTTTTAGAATTTACTGCCTTACTATACAATAGGTTATTACCTTATGAAAAAAATTTCCTCTGAAAGACTTAGAATGCAAAAGGTGCTGTGGCATAATTCAAATTGACTAGCAGAACAAAAACTGGAGCAGTGTCTTGAAATTTCATCCTCCCAAGTGGCACCTTTAATAAAATAATTTTGAATCCCCTTGGTCTGCTTAGGGTGAAGCAGGGGAGCTGTGAGAGATGGGCATTTATAGATTTATATTTCAAGGACAAATATGCCAAAGATTTTTTATTTTATTTTATTCTGTAAAGAACAGAAAGGTGAGTTGAGATGACAATTCAGAGCTTTACAAAGTCACTTTGCATGTCAGGGTGTAATCAGTAAAGTACATCAATGTTTGTTTTTTGAGTGTGATTAGACTGTGCTTTGACATTGCCTTAAGCACAAATTATACTTTAATAGGACTAATAGACAAAATTGCATTTTAAGTCAAGGCAATTTGAATGTCGCTGCTTAGACATGGAAAGAGTTTGGCTTGCTAGTAGTAAATGAATTTAGAAGTAATGTCAAAAGTCGTCCCCTCCTTCTCACTGGCTTTTAGTAAGGAAATAAATTCGTCTTTCAAGACTAGCTTTCTAATGGAACTGCTTGTTCCTCAAAGTGGGAGAACTTTCCAGCATGATTTTTTTCTTTCTTTCTTTTTTATTTCTTTCCCCTTCTCGTTTTTTTGGGTATTTGTCAGACACTCTTGACTTAAAAGAAGGGAGAGGCAGCTCTGTAGATATTGTGTGCCTGTATAGTCTCTCTTCCCTTCTTTTCTCTCTCATTTTAATGTTATGGGTACTAATGGTACCTAAATGTACTTTCTGGGTTTTGTTTTTTAGTACCCCAGCGACTTTGGATCAGAACTATGTCGTTTGTGAGCTTCAGCAAAAAGTAAACATGTTATACTCTTTCCTGAGAAGTCACTTGAAAAAGAAGAGCATTGTTTTTTTTGCAAGCTGTAAAGAGGTAAGACTATTTCCCCTCTCTCCTCCATACTATTTTAAACCTGTTAAAATTAAGATATTCATGTTGATGTCAAGGCATCAGACAGGTGAGATTCTGGACTAGTTTGCAACAGGAAACAGGGGGAGGAACCAAATGTCAACTACTCCTGTAGGCATCTCATGCGGTGCCTGGCTGCTGGGAAGCTCAGCGACCCAGACTCAATGCAGGAAGGTCCTGGAGATCCTGGTGTACTCAGCCATTTCTGTGCTATTCTGTTAAAAATGAGTGCTAAAAGTTATGTCACTAAGGGTCAGCTGTTTCAGCGTTGTCTCATGACACGTTTCGTAGTTGGGTTACAGAGTATTTTAATAGTTGTACCTACTTTCTTTACAAGCTTTTAAATCTGCCTAAATAAGAAATTGTAATTGTGAAATAGTGCAGGGAAAGGTTTTTCTTATGGTTATATAGGAAGTAATCCTTCCAATATCTACTTGTATAAATGTCTTGGGACTAATCTGTTGAAGTTATTTGTATGTGTTTGTATGGCACAGGTATTTATTCCTATAACTGCTGCCTGTATCAAATATTTTACAACATACAATGGTGTAGTAAATATTCATTGCAGCTCTTCCACTTGTGCAAGAGGTTACAATATTTTTGTTAGTTCTGCAGTTGTGTGGTGAGTACAGCAAGGTGGTAGGCTTAGTTGTACAGAAAATCTCTGAGCTGCAGCTGTACTGCAATATACACAGTTTCTGTAACAATTTTCTTAAAAAAATATTAGGTAGCTGCCTGCTATAAAATAATGCTGCATCATGGTGCTGTATGTAAGACTAAATGGACTGCTTTTATAAAAAAAGCTGTTGAAGCTTGAAATAGTAAACCAAGACTGTGTAGACTGCTTTGAGTACAAGTGTAAGACTACACCCCTCCAGTATTGTTTAAAAGCAGTGCTTCTAATGGAGTTTTGATACTTTGGTCCCTTGTATACAACCTAACTAGTCATGTCCCGAGTTGTTCTTGCTGTTACTTACTCTGGTTCCTTTTAGGAAATGGCATCAAAAGGCATGCCAGTCTTGTGCCACAGTTCATTTCCTCTTTTATTACCTGGGCGTGTGACAAAATCTCAAAATAGCATATCTTGTCTCTGATGTGGAGAAAAGTGTGTTTTATTTGATGTGCTAAGTCAGTTGCTATATACTGGATAGATCTTAACAAGCTTAACATTGTATGGTAATTCCTCCCCACCCCCTGATTTGTTGGGCAGGTCCAGTATCTATTCAGAGTGTTCTGTAAGCTTCAACCGGGTCTTCCTGTACTGGCACTCCATGGCAAGCAGCATCAGATGAAGAGAATGGAAGTCTACACTTGTTTTGTTCGGAAAAAGGCAGCAGTACTTTTTGCTACAGATATTGCAGCTCGTGGCCTGGGTATGTACCCACAGAAGCAATAGTTATTCACAAAGTGATGATCTAACCCTGCTGAGACTTTATCGGTGATAGTATGCTCTGAAGACCAACCTGATTTGTAGGAAATGAAGCTGTAGTTTGCTTAAGAGCTCATTAGGGTATTTCAGAAGAGATATGCTTCTTAGAGTTCTGCCATTTCTTTACTAAAAAGGCCCACTTGACTTGTGCTTATTTTTTCTTTTTGTCCCAGAAGGATTATGTTGTCACTAGTTTTGTAATGGCATTTGTTAGTGAGGTAGTCAGTGGAAAGCTGTAATTTGTTTGTTTGTTTATTTATTTATTTAAAGTCTGTAGACAATCTGGTTTTTCCAGCCATGTTTTGCGACAAATATCTGGAATGAGAGAAAATGGAAATAGTGATGTATTTGCTTGCTACATGCCTTCAGGCAAGATTTCAGCAGTTTTAAGTATTTCTGATGTGCCTATATCCTGTCGGTTATTCCAAAAGATATGAAAAATTACTAACCTACCAGGGTGTGGAAACAGAAACCTGAAGAAATTTTAATGTCTGAACCATGAATGGCACTATAGGACTGTATTCTTAAGGAGGCAGAAAAATAGATGAGGGAAAAAGCAAGAATATTTATAGGACCTATTTTGGCTTGAGTTTCTTTCCTCTGGTCATTACCTGCTGAATTATGATTTACTTCTTTATATTTTCAGTGGATACTTTGGACTTTAAGTACTTGGAGGCATTTAGGTATGACACAAGACTGTTTTCAGGAGTCTAGTCGTTTTTCTTTCAGATAGCAAACTCTGTTGTCCAAAATGAAAGGTTTTGTCAGTATGCTACAAAAGAAGGAAGATGCTCTAAAACCTGAAGGCAGAAATGAAAACTGTTTATCATACTTTCTACACTCCTGAGATCTCACTAGAGAGGATCTAATGTGGGTATGGTTGGTTGGGTTTAGAGTGTAGGTATAATTGTGGAATACAGTGTAGCTACAGACTTGGTCAGGAAGTAACACAAACTTACTCAAATGCAAAGCATGCTGCTGCCAGGTGAAGTACAGCAGTTAGAAAATGCCTGTGAATAATATCATTCACATTCAATGTTGACTTCTTTGTCAGTCTTGGTCACCCCCCTCCCATCTTTGAGAGGGACTATGATATTTCTGCATGTAGACAGCTGAAGTAGTGCTGTCCCGCCACAGCTAACTTCAAACTCCAGTGGTGTAGGATACTGATACTGTAGGTGAAAAAGTGGGTCAGATATTGTTATTTAATTATTAAGTGTAGTGGTGTTTTTATCGTCTGTGTGACACAAAGCATGTCTGTTCTTGTCAAGTGTGAAATTATGTTCCATTCAGTGTACTGTCATAATTTAGCAAATGAAGACACCATTAATTTTAGCTTTCTTTGATGAAGAGGATGATTGTTTATGATATGCTAATATATGCAATTAATTTTATTTTTATTTCAGAGGTTGCACTCAATGTCTGTAAATTGGTCTAAATGATGGTTCTTACAAGAATTAATGCTCCAAAATAATATGTTGCTCTTGAATAGGAGCATTTTGAGTACAGTGAGCTTAAATTTTGGCATATTTTTTTTTCTTTACACAGATTTTCCAGCAGTGAACTGGGTCATTCAGTTTGATTGTCCAGAAGATGCAAACACATACATCCACAGAGTGGGAAGAACAGCCAGGTTTGTTTTCACTTTTCATTAACATTTTAATGTTTGAAACTAGATCTCTGTAGGGACAGATAACTGGCTAAAGACTCACTTGAAAAAATCAAGATAGAAATTGGAAAGAAAAAGGGCTGTTATCACCAAAAGATGGTTGATTTCTTAGGAGTAATGGTGTGACTTAGTCATTTCTTAATGAGCTTCAGAGACTTCTTACAGGAGACAGAAAAAATATGCCCAGTTGTTTAATCTGATCAAGGAAGATTAACAGTGAGGAAGCAAAAATCTCCTTTTGCGCTTGGCGGGCTTACCTCAAAGGCTGAGTTGAGCATGTTTGTGGGTGGAAAAGCTAGTTTTGCCACCACCTTTTATAGATAAATAAGGGTTCAGACTGTGAATCCAATTTCTTTGTGTCATTGAAGACTCTTCAAAAGAATGGAAATATTTCTTCCTGATTTTAATTTGGGGTGGAAGGAATCAAATAATGTTGATTACAGGTTAAATTTTTAATTTTCTAAGTCTTTTGTAGAATTATATTCTTAGGGATAGCTTTAGTTAAAATATTTGTGGCTAAGCCTTTATGACAGAAGGGAGTTACCCAGATATACTATTGCAAACCTTGTCCTTGATCTCTGAAGTAGATTTTTAAGAGAAACGGGAGTTGTTATTTTGTATAATTCAGTAGATCAAAAACTTTACGCAGTTATCTGAGGGACAAAATGCAAGACCTGGTATTATATCTTGTACATAATTTAATTTGTTTAATTTGTTTGTAGTAGGGTTTTACCGTCTTTGTTGCAATATAGGCGGAAGTCAAAACTAATGACAGAACAGTTTCTTGGAATAGGACTTCAGCACTCTGCGGTACAGGAGTTTGAAATCTGTCTTTCTGGATCAGATGGCATTAAATTTTGGTGACTGTAATAATGGGAGTGCGTACTTCCAGCCCTCGTTCAGAATGCGGAAGTTCTAGCCATGTTTTCATGGTAATTGGTAATGCTTCTGCCCCATTCTGTCCTGTGTTCTCCATTTTCCTATCTACCTGTTAGAATAAATTTTTAAATTATTTTGGGAAAAAACTGTCTATGAACAACATCAGTGAATGTTATATATAATTAGATAAAACATGTACTGTTTGGCTAAATTAAAATCTTGATGTAATCTCATGCATCCCAATTGAGAGAAAAGTGTGTCGGCTTAGTTAGAATTCTGGTTTGTTGTTTTTTTTTTTTTCCTTTAATCCTGTGTGGCCTCCACAGAAGGCTTGTAATTTTGTCTTTATAGCATACTGTCATTGTGGAAGGGAAAACAATATATTTGGCACTGTTTAATTGGCAGTTTCTGGGAGGCTTGTTGAGCTCTTCCCGAGCTGTGTCACTGAGGTAAAACACCTCCCTGGAGTTAAAATCCTCAGCCTTGTCCCAATTCTCATTAGATCCTGAGGAGAGCGATTTTAAGTAGGTTTAGAAAGGGGAAGCAGCTCCGTAAAGACAAATAATGCTCCTTTTCCACAATGCTTTTAATAAAATGTCACTCTGATGAGTGACAGCCTTGCAACCTTAAGGGTCTGTCTTCCGCAGCCTCTTAAATGCAGCCTTCTGTGATTGCTTCAGGGACAGATTTAGGCAGAAAATTGGGGCAGAGAGTCTGTCCTGTAGGCTGTTGGCGGTGCTGGATACCTGCCCCTTGCTTCACCGGGCTGTCGTTTGCATTTCCCTTTATGTGAATTTTTCAGTAGCCAGACCTTACTGAAATTGGGAGTACATCTGAGCAAGTTGTTTGAGCTGGCAGGGTGGTGACTGATATTGAAAGCAAATTCCTTCTGTAGGAAAAGCTTTATGGGTATTTTCTGTCTCTTAATCTGATATAAAGATCAAGGAAGGTTCTGCCTACACTGGGCTTTCACTTTGGGGAAACATAGGGGCTCTCTCTGTCCTTAAAGTAAAGCAGTCCTGGAAAGTGATTTGTTTAGTCAACAACATGAAGTAAATCTTTGAAAATAAAACAAGGGGGAGGTCTAATAGTTTTAAATAAATACTGTGTACTTATGCTAATGCAGTTTTAGATGTGGATAATTGAGAATGTACTTCTCGGTGAACTCGTAAGTGTTGAGTAGGAAATGTCACTTGTTTTCAATAGCTACAGTTAATACGAGAAGCTCGTGTTTCTTCTAGAAACTTTATAAAAATGAACTGAACTGCAGTTTAGTAGTCCTCATTAATGAGGTTAGAGATAATTACAAATTTTCAGGGGTTATGAGAGTGTATAATTGCATGGAATGAAAGCAAAATTAAATAGCTAATTAAGAGACTGTGTTAAACTGTAATTAAAACTGGGTTGCCAAATACTGTTTACTTTTGAAATCAAATTATTTTGTGATACAAAAGTAAATACAAAAGTCAAGAGAGAAATTATTTTAGGGATGGGGTTGAAAAACCTTTGACTAACAATCGTAGATGTGTTCCCACATCTGTTTTACAGTTTTGCAAAACCTTATCTAAGATGAAAGACAATGATTGATTTTTAAGTGGATAAGACCACCATGTTTGCTAAGTAGCATTTCACTTGCATTTCATCCTACTGAAGAACATAAATTGCAACTCCTGCGTTTTTGATTTATGGTAAAGTAAGACCAAGAAAATCTGGGTGTTGTCCAGTAATGCTTTTACTTTGTAGTAGAATTGGCATATCTTGATTTTTTTTTTTTCTTTTTTTTAACTTGAATGGTATGCTACGATTGGAGTGGTTGGAAACTATTTCTTCCAACTGCATTTTAAAGTATTTATTTAAAGTCTTAACTAGTTCAGTAACAGAATTTCTAAAATACTGACAATATCATGGCCATGCCCATACATTTTTTTTTTGCTATATTTTTGTTACACAATCTGTTAGCAAAGTCTGTAATTTAAAATACTAGTTCACAGTGTTTTGCTGTGTGTATTAGTTTCAAAAATTCTAAGTAAATAAGGGCTACTTGTAGCAATTGTCTGCAAAACTTGCTTCTGGCTTTTAATTCCTATTGATGCCTTCTGTTCTGTAGCCTATGAAGCCTACAGTTGAAAATATTCTTTGACCAATTTTGTGAAACAAGTTACAGTGCCACTAGGGGACAGCAAAAGATAATAATTTCTGAAGCACACTGATACTCACTTTTTCCCCGCCTGTTTTTCCAAACATAATTTGTAACTTGTATGGCATGAAACAAACATATATAAGGGTGTTTTTCTTTGTCGTGGTTGCATTGATGAGTAGAAAAGACACTGAAAAGTCTATTTTTCTTTCTATTCATGCATAAGTATCTTGTATTTTGGATGTACCTGTATCCTGGCACATCTCAGTAATTAATTTATTTCTTTCTTAGCATTACATTCCTCCCTCCACTCCAATTTATCTTTTTTTTTTTTCTTCAGAGGAGACTGCTAAAAACTGTTACCCGAGTTTAGTGATTTTTCTGTCAGGGTTCTTTTTTTAAAGACACTGACAGTGGAATGTTAAGCAGAATACATCTTTTTGCTCTGCAGTTTTTATCTGTGGTATTTCCAGAACTTTATATAGGCTTTAGGTCTGACTCAAGCTCAGACTTCTGATGGTATTTAATCCAGGCTCGTTGGTTAGGTTTGTTAGGTGCTTAAACTGACTTATGAAAGTCAATGTAATGTTTTTGTTGTTAAATGTAGTGTTCATACAGGCATGCATGTTCTGTCTAACTCTACATATGCTGTTTTCCTATTGGTAAATTACATTCTGAAAACAAACAGAATAATAAAAACCCATCTTCCCAAAGCAGGGTACTCTGTTGCCTACCATCTTTGTACTGGCTGGTATGATGATTAGAGCCAAGAAGTATGAATAAAGACTTAAAAGATCTATAGTCTTCTTGATGCCTTGTGAATACTGAAGAATACATACAAATCAAATTTTGGAAAGGTGAAAGGGGCAGGTCATATAATGATCTTATTCTGTCATGAAGTAAAATGCTTTGAAGCATGCTCATTGGGGCTCTCCTGAAGTAATTCCACATTATATGTGTGAAAGTGAGACTAATAAGCCTTTAGAGTAATCCTTGCGAGTGGCACTAAAGCATTTAATGCGACTTAATGGAACTATTTTTCAATGGTGGAAGCTTGATTTTTTTTTTTCTTTTTTTGTTTTAAATTGGGAAATATATATCTCAGGGATACATGTCTCAGATCCTGAATAAACAGTACAGTCAAGATGGCAGCGCCTTGTTTAATCATTTCTTTATATTTAAGGCCCATTGAAGCAATTTTACTGATGTTTCTTTAAAAATAAATGCAGTATTTAGACCATCTCATATTATATTGCAGTCAAGTCACTATCCTAACTCAAGTTAAGTAAAAATAGCTGCTGGTGGAGGTCACAAGAAATTGTTGACACCACATATTTAACTTGCAATTCACATTATTAAATTTTCTAAAATTAAACATTGTACCCTAGGTACATTCCTGACAGTGGCCTGTGATGTTGCAGTCATACTGACTGGCACTGTGGTGTCCATTAGAATTCTCTTCATAATGGCATGGTGTGAGTGTTCTAATACATTGAAATATTAAGTGGCTAAGATTATTACCTGCTGACATGAAGCTATCCTGTAAACTGTAATAAAAAATAAGCACATGTATTTTAATGCAGTAGAGTGGACACGGCTTCTGTGGAAAATGGATTGCTTACAGTCTAGGCTGGAGGACCCAACAACCTCCCAAGGCCTTTTTAATTCAGTTTATGCTCAGAGTAGCATGGTAAGGTTGGTGAGCTACAGCCTATTCTTGTCCATTATTTCTTGTGACTAAGTCTGTCTGACGAACAAGGACACCTAACCAGTATGACTGAATGAAGGGGATTATGGTTTTGTGGTATGAATAAAACCTAGTTGCGTGGTTCTCAAGAACTTGGCAATAGATATAAATGGGCTACTGTCCAGACGGAAGGGAAAAGATATTAAGTGATCAGAGGAAACCAAACCCCAAAATAAACAACCCCTGAAACAATCTCTAACT